AAGAGTAGTGACAAATCCTATGTACGTAATCTACGTTTCTGAATACGCGCTGCGGCATACCCAAAACAAAGCCTGTATACCATCCTTATTTCATATGGCTTAAGACAATGCATCAAAGCATGCGGGTTCACATATGCAGAAAACGTAATACTTCAAGTCGAAGGATAGTTACACCCGTGGTCGCGCTAAAGATGCTTAGAGCATGAACTTAAAGTTCAAGCAACATCTTTAGAATGGGTCAGTCCGGCATCCTATTATCTCTAGATAATATCTGCCCATGTGCGGATGCGAACACACTGTCATTGACTATGAGACTAAGTCAAACATCCAACACACACTAGTCTCACATGCATTAACGATATCCCACTCTCGTTAATACTCGACTATGGACATTTAGATAAATATTTATTTCAAGATGTTAGTCTCATCAGCAGAAGAACACTATCTGATAAACATCTTTTAAATATAAATCTAAGAATATAATATTTGTTTACATTAGCATGAGATGTGTAAACATATAATATCTGCCTATACATGATAGAATAACGATAAACAGTTGGCCATCAGGGCACAACTCCAACACTAATTCCACCAGACAAGCTTGTTCACTCCACTTGATAACCACAAATCTTTACCTGATCTTCTCTCTCCTTCTTTGATCTGTTCTCATTGTTTCTGTTAAAATCTATTTTCATTACGTAGCATTAGCATCTTATGAACAACCCCCCCCCCCCCCTTGCGTGTGTGTGTGTTGTGGAAAGTGAGCAATAAATCAAGAGAAGAAATAATAGAAGACAAATCTCCCTGTGGAAGAATGACCCTACTTACCACTTGGCTACCATTTTTATAAGTGTGTAGTAATTGGGGAATAGGTTAATTTGTTGTCACCTGACAAGTGGTTAACAAATTTGGCACCGTTGCTGGGGAGATTTGATCTCTTCTATCTTTTCTAACTATCATATTAGGTCTTTATAAGTTGTTTTTTGTGAACATCTGTGTCATTGTTGAGTTGGCACTAACCCTTGTTTTAAGTGTTGTGTCAGTATCTGCCTTTTGATGCAGTTAAGAAGTGGTTTGAAGACCACAAGGGTAAGTGTTGAATTAAATTTGGAGAATCAGGTCAGTATTTCTGAGGTTGCTACTTCTTTTGATTCTGAATTAGAATCTGAAACTGAGGTAATTGTTTCTCCTTTCCAATCACATAATAACATGGCAACTTTAAGGGAACTAGCTGCACCTGACCTTCAGACCCAGCCCATGTCCATTACTTATGCTGTTATGGAAAAGCCATTGAAATTAAACTCTGGATTTTTGAATATGCTTCCCAAGTTTCATGGCCTGCCTGGTGAAGACCCTTATAGACATGTTAATGAGTACCTCATAACATGTGCAGCCATGGAACCTGAAGGAGTTCCTCAAGAGCAAATCAGACTTAGGGCCTTTCCCTTTTCAGTGATGGACATAGCAAAAGATTGGCTGTACTATATGCCTCCTGGGTCTTTTACAACCTCGCCATCACTGCATAGGGCATTCTTAGAGGAATTCTTTCCTGCCTCTAGAATAGGATCTATTAGGAAGGACATCTGTGGGATAAAACAAATGGGGAATGAATCATTTTCTGAATATTGGAAGAGATTCAATAAACTCTGTGGGATAAAACAACTGCTCATCCAGTACTTCTATGAAGGGTTATCCCTAATGGATAGAAGTATGGTAGATGCTGTTAGTGGTGGTGCTCTAGTTACTAAGACCCCAGAGGAAGCTAGGAATTTGTTCAATCTTATATCTCAGAACACACAGCAATTTGGACTAAGGATGAATGAACCAAAAAAGGAAACTGAATCTCTTGCAGCCCTCAATGATCATTTTGCAAATCTTACCAAAATTATGGGACAAATGGTTAGTGTGGGGGGAATCAAGAAGTCAGTTTGCTCTGTGTGTAGTCTAGAAGGGCATACTTCAGAAGTGTGTCCCAGTTTTCAAAATCAAATGTTTTCAGCTCCTGGTTTTCACTCTGAAAATTTTCAAAATTGTGAGGTCAAAGCTGGTTTTAACAATCAAGGACAGAGGAGGTATGATCCCTACTCCAATTCCTACAATGAAGGGTGGAGGGATCATCCAAACCTGAGATATGGTCCCAGACCAAGTCTACCCCCCCCCCCCCCAAGTTTTCAAAATACAAACAACAACAATTTTTCTGCAAATCTAAACAATCCTCCTGGTCCTGTTGATAAAACACACCAAATGCTGGAAGTAATTTTGAAAAAAATGGAGGACAAGTTCTCCCTAGTTGATCAGAATATGAAGCTAATGCAAGAAAGGCAAACAGCCTAGGACACCTTGTTGAGTAATTTGCAGGCCCAAATTAACAACAGGTTACCTGCTCAACCATTTCCTGCTACTAAGGAGAATGTGAGTGCTGTTGTCCTTAGGAATAACAAGGTTCTTCCTGAACCTTCCTTAGGGAATGCTAGAAGGGATCAGGAGATTATGGAAAAGGAACTTGACTCAGAGAATATCCAAGAACCTGAATTGGTCAACAATAAATCTGTTGTGACTCCTGGTACTCCTAGGGCAGTTTACAAACCTCAGCCACCCTTTCCCAGTAAATATCAGAATCAAAGGAAGAACAGTAAAGAACCAGATGATGAAATATTTGAAATGTTTAAAAGGTTCAAGTGAGCATTCCTCTTCTAAATGCAATAAAAAATGTTCCAAAATATGCAAAATTTTTGAAAGAGATGTGTACTAATAAAAGAAGGCTGAAAGGGGATGAAAGGGTGAGCATTAGTGAAAATGTTTCTGCCATCTTTCAAAAGAAACTTCCACAGAAATGTCAGGATCCTGGTGTGTTTTCTGTGCCTTATAAGATCGGAAATTTGGAGAATACCAAGGCTTTACTTGATTTAGGAGCATCCATCAATGTCATGCCTAGGGAGTTATTTGACCAGTTGGGGGTAAGAGAACTAAAAGAGACTGGGGTAGTTATTCAACTTGCTGACAGGAGTTTGACTTACCCTGAAGGGGTGGTTGAGGATGTTTTAGTCCAGGTCAATGACATGCTCTTTCCTGCTGACTTTTATGTCCTTAACATGGAAAAGGATTATTCTGGCATCCCTCTCCTTCTGGGCAGACCATTTTTGAAAACTGCTAAGGCCAAAATTGATGTTGATGCAGGAACTTTGTCCTTAGAATTTGAAAATGAAGTTATTATGTTTAAAATTTTTGAAGCAATGAAGTTTCCTGATCAACTCAATCAAGTTTTTACATTAGACATCATTGATGAAATGGCACAAGATGTTTTTCAATTATCAAATCAGGATGAGCTTTTGAGTGTGGTGTCCAATAGTCTAGATCCTGAATCCTTGAAATCCTCTCCATACACTGTAAATTCAGAGATTCATAAACATGTTAAAATGCTATATGAGGTTAAAACTGTTTCTTTAACTCATACTCTGGAGCTGCCTAAAAATGTACCCAGACAGTTGCCCTCCCTTGTCCAACCACCTGAGTTGGATTTGAAACCTCTACACTTAGATCTTAAATATGCTTATTTAGGCTTGAACAAAACCTTACCAGTGATCATCTCCAGTAAATTGACTAGGAACAAGAAGATAGGCTGTTAGGGGTGTTAAAACAATTCAGTGGAGCCATAGGGTGAACCTTAGCTGACTTGAAGGGCATCAGTCCAGCCTTTTGTACTCACAGGATTCTTTTAGAACCTGGTTCTAAGCCTAAGGTTGACCCTTTAAGAAGAATCAACCCCCCAATGTTAGAGGTTGTACAAAAGGAACTCTTAAAATGGAATCAAGCTGATGTAATCTACCCCATTTCAAACTCTAAATGGGTGAGTCCTATTCATGTTGTAACGCCACGAAATATGGCCTAAATTTTATTATAAAACAAAAGTAATTTTCGTCCAATAAGAAATATTTATAGGTTGACCAAAAATAAATGATTTTCAAAATAATGACTTTTTGTTAAAAACTTATTTTTATGGATATGTCTCAAAGAGACGAATCCAACGGTACAGTTTATGAACCAATCTCATTTATAGATTTCAAGTTATGTCGATTCTAAATATTAAAATTTGTAACTTTGACCCATAAAATAAACTCAATCCAAAGGTGATTTAATAAGATTATAAATCATAATTTTGACACTTGACAACACCATATTTATCATTTGGATTTAATCCATATATTTATATCTCAATCATATTATAAAATTAATTTATGACAGAGACAGACCCAGACATTAAGAAAAATAAAACTTATCAGAAAAATATTTTGATTACGTCAAAATTCTAGTTT